AAAAGAAAAGAAAACAGGTAACCCTCAGAACCTCAAAATCTTAACATTTAAATATTCAGAGCCCAATTAATCTTATCTTACAAGAGTAAAGTCTGAGAGTATTTAAAATAAATTATAGAAAATTCTGCAATTGGGATACATGAATAACTAGATTAGAAGTTATAGATTCATTTACTCAAAGTAATCTTCTAAACTGTCCCTCATCTAGGAAAGATGAAAGCAACAGACTATCAAAATATTAAGTCATGTATGTTATACCTTAGATATGGCTCTGCTTTCCAATATGTTCACTCTCTTAATAGTATCTACTAGAGAAAAAAGTAGAAAAAAAATGTTGATTTGAAAACCCTTAAGCAATTAGTAGCTAGGGTAAGCATATCCAATCCCCATAAAGTGAAATGTTGGGCCTCACCTTATGAATAAATAAGTCATCATGTAAGGAATCCTTCTGGTTCACAGCAATAACTTTAAAGCAAAAAAAGGAGAGGTTAATGATCTTTCCTTAGGGAGATGATGATAATTATAATCCTACCTACTCTAGCCCATGTAGAGGGTCTGATATTCTAATAAAAAGCAGAGCCGATATTCTGATTAAAAGCTTATCAGAATGAAGCCAGGCACAGTGGCTCATGCCTATAATCCCAGCACTTTGCAAGGCTGAGAGAGGCAGATCACTTTGAGCTCAGGAGTTTGAAACTAGCCTGGGCAACACAGCAAAACTCTGTCTCTACAAAAAACTACAAAAATTAGCCAAGTGTTGATGGCTCATGCCTATAATTCCAGCTACTTGGGAGGCTGAGGTGGAAGAATGGCTTGAGCCAAGAAAGGGAGGTTGCAGTGAGCTGAGATTGCATCACTGCACTCCAGCCTGGGCAACAGAGTGAGAGACCCTGTCTCAAAACAAAACAGAAGTTTATCAAAATGAAACATCGCATTTTATCTAAAGAAATTAAGTAGATCTAGACATCAGAGAACACTTATAGAAAGTCCTAAATGCTCTGTCAAATTTAGGAATGGATAGCAGGATTTCAGACTACAAATGATTAACAGTAAAGATGAGCACCCATGAACAGGTGAAGAAATAAAAGAAGAAAAGACAGCTGAGGCACCTTTATTGAAGAGTAACAGCAGAATTATATAACACCAAAGTTTTTTCAAATGCTCTAAGTCTGTGCTGTTCAACACAGGAACTACATGTGGGTACTGAGTACTTAAAATGTGGCTAGTTCAGCTGGGCACAGTAGCTCAAGCCTGTAATCCCATCACTTTGGGAGGTTGAGGTGGGAAGATCACCTGAGACTGGGAGTTCAAGACTGGCCTGACCAACATGGAGAAATCCCATCTCTACTAAAAATACAAAATTGGCCAGGCATGGTGGCACATGCCTGTAATCCCAGTTACTCGGGAGGCTGAGGCAGGAGAATTGCTTGAACCCAGGAAGCGGAGGTTGCAGTGAGCCAAGATCACACCAGCGCACACCAGCCTGGGAAACAAGTGAAACTCCGTCTTGAAAAAGAAAAAAAAAGAAAGAAAAAGAAGCGTTATCTTCATCAGTATTTCACTGCCTGTTTCCTGTTCTCCAAATCAAGACATTCCCTCATCCTATTTTTATTTGGAATGATAGTGACAAGGAAGGAAAAAGATTTGCATTTATCAACTGAAACAAAATTGTTTTCCTCATCTCTTTCCCTGTAAAACTGAACTCCTTAAAGAGAGAGGCTGAAACCTATTCACCTTCCTGTCCCTAGCACCTAGTGCTTTATCTGCTGCTCCACTACATCAGAACCAAGTGAATCTCTTTTTCTACTCTAAACCAGTATCAAGAATAAATGAAGATTAAAACAATAAAGGTCAATCCTTCCAGTGTTTCTTTCTGCAAAAACAAGCATATGCTTATATTCCATATAACTATTTTTTTTTTTTTTTTTTGAGACGGAGTTTCACTCATGTTACCCAGGCTGGACTGCAATGGCGCGATCTCGGCTCACCGCAACCTCCGCCTCCTGGGTTCAGGCAATTCTCCTGCCTCAGCCTCCTGAGTAGCTGGGATTACAGGCATGTACCACCATGCCCAGCTAATTTTTTGTATTTTTAGTAGAGACAGGGTTTCACCATGTTGACCAGGATGGTCTCGATCTCTTGATCTCGTGATCCACCCGCCTCGGCCTCCCACAGTGCTGGGATTACAGGCTTGAGCCACCGCGCCCGGCCCCATATAACTATTTTTAAAGCTACAAAGTAATATACATCATCTTTAAGGAAAAACATGCAATTCCATAAAGCTAGTTTCCTTTCACCACCATCAGTGTATCTCCCTCACCTCACAACCCCATCCAAAGGCAGCCACTATCATAAATTTGGGTAAATGAGATCACACTGTACACATAAATTCTGAAATGAACTTTTCCTTATATTTATAAGGTATCTCCATATTCATACACATCAAAAGGCAGCATGGTATAGCGGACTCCAAAGCCAGGTTAGGTTCAAATCCTAACTTTGAATCTCAGCTCTGATATTTACTAGCTATGAGAGTAGGTTATTTACTCTTCTTTGCTTCAGTATTCCCATATGCAAAATGAAGATAAAGATAGTACCTCTTTCTGACTTTTCATGAGGATTACAACAGTTAAGGTTCACAAAGGGCTTAAAACAATAGCTGGACATAGAAAGTACAAGGTGTTTCTTAAATTGAAATAAATACTAATTAGTGATAATAGTCTAAATATAGATCTAGGTAATTCTCCATTGTATAACTATTCTATATGTTATCTATCCATGCCTTCCTACTGACAGACATTGCTTGAAGCAGAAATCTAGTTTTCCCTCCAACTAGAAAACCAATTCAACAGTCCACTTTTTCCTTCCTTAATGCCAGGAAATGCCATTTCTAGCCTTCACCAATGTTCCAGATATGTTATGAATCCATTTCTGAACTCTCTATTCTTAGTTTGTCTTTTCCTAAACTAATACTACATTACTTCAAGTGTCATTTTTCTTTAACAAAGGTACTTACATACAGTAAAGCATAAAACAAATACTGAATGTACAGCTTGACTTTAAAATACACATACTCCTGTGTGATCTAGCTCAGACCAAGCTATTAACATTCCTTATGCTCCAGAAGGCTCCCTCATGATCCTTCCCAATCAGTACCATGCTTCCAATATGACACAATTCTAATCTCTATCACTATAGTTATTTCTACCTGTTTTTGAGCTTCCTATAAATGAAATCATACAACGTGCAAACCTTGTGTCTCACTAATGTCATTCAACATTAAGTCTGGGAGCGATTCATGTTATGTTATGCATAGCAGTTTGTTCTTTGTATGTAGTATTTCAATCTAAATAGCATAATTTTTATTTTTTTGAGATGAAGTGTCGTTCTTGTCTCCCACGTGCAATGGCACAATCTCGGCTCACTGCAACCTCCGCCTCCCATGTTCAAGTGATTCTTCCACCTCAGCCTCCCGAATAGCTGAGATTACAGGTGCATGCCACCACACCCAGCTAATTTTTGTTTTTGGTAGAGATGGGGTTTCACCATGTTGGCCAAGCTCCTCTTGAATGCCTGATCTCAGGTGATCCACCCGTCTGGGTCTCCCAAATTGCTGAGATTGCAGGCGTGAGTCACCACACCCAGGGCTAAATACCACAATTTTTAAATTCGTCTTGATAGCCAACAGAGCAAGTCCTTTCTCATTCTTTTTCTTCTTCCAAAACTATCTTGGTTATTCTTGAACCTTTAATTTTGCACATGAAGGTCATTTTCCACACACACACACACAAAAAAAAAAATCCTACTAGGATTTTTCTCTGAAGCTACATAAAATACACAAAATTCCAAAACTATCATGGTTATTCTTGAACCTTTAATTATGCACATGAAGGTCATTTTCCACATACACAAAAAAAAAAAATCCTACTAGGATTTTTCTCTGAAACTACATAAAATTCACAAAATTCCAAAACTACCTTGGTTATTCCTGAACCTTTAATTTTGCACATAAAGGTCATTTTCCACACACACACACACACACACACACACACAAATCCTACTAGGATTTTTCTCTGAAGCTACATAAAATTCACAAAATAACTTTCAGTATTACTAAATAAATTTTAAATAAACTTCCCACCCAAAAATATAGTATATCCTGCCTTTTATTTATGACTAATTTTATGTCCTTTAATAAAATGTTGGGCTGTTTATATAAATTTCCTATTAAGGAGATCTTTTTTATTTTCTAACTGGCCATTGCTAATTTGAATGCTGACCTTGTATCCAGCAATGTTGAATTCTCTTACTAATATAAACAATATGTTCATTTCTTAAAATTTTCTAGGGAGAATTTCATCTAATTTTTCTTCCTTTCCAATCCTTTTGGATTTTCTTTTTTGCTTACCTTATTGATGGAGATATATCTGTGTTATACTTGGCTTTTATGAGAATGTTTCCAAAGTTTCACTATTAAGCATGATGCTTGCTATCTGAAAGGTAGCCTTTACCGTAAGAAAAAAAAGCTAATTTCTGGTCATAGTTTAAGAGGGTTTTTTTAAAACATTAATGGGTACTGAGTGTTAACATACGTTTATTAAATTTATCTAGACTTTTTCCTAAATTTTCTTATAAATTAATTTTTTTTTTTTAAATAAAGACAGGGTTTCACCATGTTGGTCAGGCTGTTCTTGAACTCCTGACCTCAGGTGATCCGCCCACCTTGGCCTCCAAAGTGCTCGGATTACAGGCGTGAGCCACCATGCCTGGCCATAAATTAAATTGATAATAATTTTCAAATATTGAACTATCCCTAAATTTCTATCCCAATTAAAACTATTATGTATGTGTTCATAAGGAAGACTGAATGTAATATATTTTTACTTGTATATTCTTTCCATTCTAGATTTCAATGCTAAACTTGCCCAATAAACAGGTAGGGTAACTTTCCCTCTTTTTCTGTTCCCTGAGTCAATTTGCATAATGTTGGGATTAGCTGTCCCCCAAAAGCATATCTAAAATTATAATCACAAATATCACCATTAAAACTATTCCTTCATACCTGAAATGCTGAGGCTGAAAAATTGCTGAGGCCAGGAGTTTGAGGCTGTAGTACACTATGATCATGCCTGTGAATAGCCATTGGACTACAGCCTCAGCAGCACAGCAAGACCCCAACTCTTAAAAAAAAAAAAAAAACCTATTCCTTCTGACACCACTTCACACAAACTATAACAGCAATAATTAAAAAGACAGACAATAAAAAGCATTGTTGACAGTACAGAAAAATGTGAACCCTTGTACACTGCTGGAGGGAAAATAAAATGATGCAGCTGCTTTGGAAAACAGTCTTGCAGTTCCTCAAAAGTTTAAACACAGAGTTATCACATGACCCAGCAGTTTCACTCCTAGTTATACATAATCAGCGCTCCGTATCCATGGGTTCTGCATTCATGGATACAACCAACTGCAGATTGAAAATATCTGAGGGCAAAAGTTGTCTCTGTACTGACTATGTACAGACTTCTTTCCCTTGTCGTTATTCCTAAGCAATATAGTATAACTATTTACATAGCACTTGGGTTATATGAGATATTATAAATAATCTAGGGATCATGCAACACATATGAAAGAATGTACACAGGTTATATGCAAATACTGTGCCATTTTTATGTCAGAGATTTAAGCATCCGAGGGAGGTCCTGCAAACAACATAGGACTGTAATAGTTCACAGAAGGAGTATTCAGAACAACCAAAAAGTAAAAAACAATCCAAACATCCATCAAGGGGTAAATGAATAAACAAAATGTGGTATATCCACATGATGATGTATAATTATTTGGCTATATAAAAAGAGTAAAATGTGCTGACATGCTACAATGTAGATGAACCTTAAAAACATGCTAAGTGAAAGAAATCAATCCCCCCCCAAAACACGTATTGTATAAACTCCATTATACGAACTGTCCAGAACAGGGCAATCTATAGAAACAAGAAGTAGATTAGCAGATGCCAAATGATAGAGGGTTAGGAGAGATGAAAATGTTCTAAAAATGACTACAGTAATTCTTGGCACAACTCTGTAAAAATACTAAAACCTACTGAATTGTATACTTTAACCTGGTAAATGATATGGTATGTGAATATCTGAATAAAGTTGTTATTAAAAAAAAAAAAAAAAAAACACCTATTCCTCTTGGAAAAATTTACTACAGCTTCAATTTCTTTAATGGTTTTGTCTTGCACAAATTTGAAAAAAATTTCCTAGAAAATGAAACTTCCTATCATTTTAATAATTTACATACATATAAATTATTAGTGATTTCTTATAATTTTTTAAATTGCCATTATAGTTGTACTTATACCTCTTTTTAAAATTTGACTATTTGTAACATCTATTTTTCTTGGGTATTTCCAGAGTCAACTGAAAATGACCAGCTTTGACTTATCACAACACTGTTTTTATTGTTGCTGATTCTTTTCTTTCTTTTTCTGTTTTTCGATACGGAGTCTCACTCTGTTGCCCAGCCTGGAGTGCAGTGGCAAGATCTCTGCTCACGGCAACCTCTGCCTCCTGTGTTCAAGTGATTCTCCTGCCTCAGCCTCCTGAGTAGCTGGGATTACAGGTGCCCACCACCATGCCCGGCTAATTTTTGTATTTTTAGTAGAGATGGGGTTTCATCATCTTGTCCATGCTGGTCTTGAACTCCTGACCTCAAGATCCGCCCACCTTGGCCTCCCAAAGTGCTGGGATTACAGGCATGAGCCACCACACCCAGCTGTTGCTGATTATTTTCTAGCTCATCAAATTCTATTTCACTATTATTTCTTCTTCTTCCTTTGGCTTTACTGTCTCCTTTTTTAGTTTTTTTTAAATTGAACAGCTGGCTCATTTATTTTCAATCTTTCAATCTAATACAGGCATTAAAGATTATAAATTTATCCCTAAGTACCATTTTTTGTGCATCCCTCAAATTTTGATACAACACTTTTGTTGTGATTTAGTTCTAATTATTTTGTAATTTCCATTTTGTTTTTTAATTCTTGAAAATTCCTAATCATTTTTCCTTTAATATTGCTTCTCCACTATTCGTTGTATGTTCTTCTGAAATTCCAATTAGACATATATTAGAACTGCTCAGTCCACCCTCTCTAAGTGTCATCTTTTCTTCCATATTTTTCACCTCTGCATTTCTCTGTGCTTGTCCAGAGGAGTTCTCATTTCTTTCTTCAAATTAATAACCTCTCTTTAGCTGTTTCTAATCTTCTATTTTACTGATTTATTATTTTATTACAAGCTGTATTTTTCAAGATTTTAATTGGTTATTTTACATAAATATTTATTTTTTCTGAAGTAATTTTTTTATTGAATTGTAATGCAATATGCTCTTAGTTTAAAAAAAAAAAAAAAAAGTAACTGATGTCTAGCTGGGCGCGGTGACTCACTCCTGTAATCCCAGCACTTTGGGAGGCCAAGATGGGTAGATCACCTGAGATCAGGAGTCCAAGACTAGCCTGGCCAACATGGCTAAACCCCATTTCTACTAAAAATACAAAAATAAGCCGGACGCAGTGGCACATGCTTGTAGTCCTAGCTACTCGCAAGGCTGAGGCTGGAGAATGGCTTGAACCTGGGAAGTAGAGGTTGCAGTGAGCCGAGATGGCACCACTGCACTCTCCAGCCTGGATGACAGAGTGAGACTCCAGCTTACAAAAAAAAAAAGTAACTGATAAATTTTCAACTAAAACACCTTAGGCAAAATTTTTTTTGAAAAGTTCTCCACTATAAAGTTCTTCTTTAATGACACACACAGAGAGAAAAAATCACTTTTCTAGGAGTTCTTTTGGCTGCTATTCTGCCAAATGTTATCCCACTGTGCCTACCTGCTTCAAGGCATGAAAAGTTCTATTATTCCCATTTTAGAATTAGAGAAACTGAAGCACAATAAAGTTCTTTTTAAAACACTTTCTCCCCAACTTTTTTTAAAATTTCAAAGCCACAGAGAAGTTGAAAGTACAATGGCCCATACACCTTCTACCTAGATTCAAAATTCCTAACATTTACAACTTTTGCTTTATCTTTTTTTCTCTCTCTCCATACACATATATGCACACACCACACCCAAATATCCACACACTTTTTTTCAGAACCCACTCCTGAACCCAACGTAATACTTTACTTGGAACATTTCAATTTATTTCTCCAAAGAATAAAAGCACTCTCAATGTAACGACCCTATCATTTATAATGAAGAAACTATGAGATTAAACAGAATGGTACATAGACATGCAGCAACAGATTCAAAACTAGTATTTCAGTCATCCAACTAAATGTTCTTTATCTTGGCTTGTCTAATGATTGGACAAACTGCTTTCTGATAATTATTTAGAAGCGACAATCTGTCAAAAAGATTTCTTTACTTCATTTCTGAAAAGAAAGAAATAATCTTCAAAGATATTCAAAGTGCAAAAATCAAGTATACTGTATTTCTATTTTGTTTTCTAACACTAAGTCTTAAACTGAAGCCATTCTGCACTCAAAACTATACACTCTCTTTTTATATGCCACAAGATAAATTACTAATAATTATACTAATTAGAATTTCACTATACCAGCTTTTAAAGGGAAAAATTGTTTTTAAGAAAAAAATACAGTACAAATAAGATTGATGAGGCAAATGAAGCTGCTTTATACATTAAAAAAAAAAAACGGGGGGGAGAAAAAAAGAAAGAAAAGAATAAAAGACTGGCAAGTGTATTCATGAATCTATATGAAAAGCTAATGTTTCAGTGGGCATGATTTAATCTCAGTCACTGATGTTAGGAACTAGGTAAGATAAACTATAAAATCCTATGCTTGCTCTCAAAGAACATAAAAACCCAGTTTAAGAGTTGTATATTTTTACCATATAACATACCCATGTAAAAAATAAATAAAATAAAAATTTTTAAAAGAAGTCTGTATTTTTAAAAAATAGCAATATACGCCGGGCGCGGTGGCTCAAGCCTGTAATCCCAGCACTTTGGGAGGCCGAGGCGGGTGGATCACAAGGTCAAGAGATCGAGACCATCCTGGTCAACAGGGTGAAACCACGTCTCTACTAAAAATACAAAACATTAGCTGGGCATGGTGGCGCGTGCCTGTAATCCCAGGCTACTCAGGAGGTTGAGGCAAGAGAATTGCCTGAGCCCAGGAGGCAGAGGTTGCGGTGAGCCGAGATCGCGCCATTGCACTCCAGCCCGGGTAACAAGAGTGAAACTCCGTCTCAAAAAAAAAAAAGCAATATAGCCAGGTGCAGTGGCTCACGTCTCTAATCCTAGTACTTTGGGAGATCCAGGCAGGCAGATCACTTGAGGTCAGGAATTCACAGCCAGCCTGGCCAACATGGTGAAACCCTGTCTTTACTAAAAATACAAAAAAGTTAGCCAGATAGGGTGGTGCACACCTGTAATCCCAGCTACTTAGGAGACTGAGGCAGAAGAATCACTTGAACCTGGGAGGCGGAGGCTGCAGTGAGCAGATATGACACCATTGTACTCCAGCCTGAGTGAGAGAGCAAGACTGTCTCAAAAAACAAAAAGTAAAAAAATAAATAAATAATACAAAATAAAAAATTTAAAAATAGCAATACAACTTGAAGTAATATTTAAGGGTTAAACTGTATCATTCAACTAACCATAACTACATAAATGTTTAAGATCAATCTATAGCCAAATACTAGCCAACAAGAGTATTAACTAGGTGCTGTAAGGCACTCTATTAAGTAAATTCCATGAATTAACATAATCTTACAGACATCTCACTTTTCTACTGAGGAACTGGAGATAACAAAGATGCCAGCATAAAAGGACTGATAAGGAGTAAGACTTGCCTCAACTTTAAGGTACAGAAATCAGAATGGAAAGAAGGCTATCTGAAGAAAGTGAAAAAACACAAGCCAGTGTAAATATAACTATCCAGGTAAGAACAAACAAAAGTTTCAAACTGAAGAAATTAAGGCTAGATAAACAAGGTAGAACTGGATAGCAGGAGGCCTCAAGTACCCAGCAAACAGACAAAAGTTTTGTAAAACACCTATAAGCAGTGCACCATTATAAGCTCTTTATATTTAAAATGCCTTTTTAGAAAGAGTAACATAATAATAATGCAAAATGAGTGGGAGAGAAATGAGAAGCAAGAAACAGTCTAATTCTATAGTAACATTTACAAATAACAATTCAATAAATTATTTGGTACCTGAGGAAATCAGAGAGCTCCAACTAAACCAAATCTGCCACACTTCACATCAAGTCTTTTCATTACAAACAAGGAAGTGGTAAATATAGTTGCAACATATCCTAAATTATTTTTCAAATATACTTTCAATGAAGTTCAAGATACACTGGAAACTGTCATTAAGAAGTGCTAGTCAAAAAAAAAAAAAAAAAAAAGCTAGTCAGGCCAGGAGCAATGGCTCAAACCTGTAATTCCAACACTTTGGGAGGCCAAGGCAGGCAGATCGTTTGAGTTCATGAGTTCACAACCAGCCTGGGCAACATGGCAAAACCCCATCTCTACAGAAAATAAAACAATTACTCAAGCACGGTGGTGCGCACCTGTAGTACCAGCTACTAGGGAGCCTGAAGTCGGAGGATAGCTTATGCCTGGAAGGCAGAAGTCACAGTAAGCCAAGATCACACCACTGCACTCTAGCCTGGTGACAGAGCCAGACTTTGTCTCAAAAAAATAAATAAATAAATAAATAAACAGAAGTGCTAGTCAATATAAAACTATCCTTGCTGGTCAGTACTACTGTGTCAAAAGAAATTCACCCGCCTAAAGACATCTGCATAAATTTTACAGTATAAGTATTTACTTCAAAAAAGCAACATCATAAAGAAAGGTATACAACAATTCAACATTTAGCTTCCCTATATTGCTTTAGAACAACTGCATCATTTACCAAAGGCCAGTAAATGTATAATTTTTTAGAAGCAGCTATTTTGTAAATAAGACACTTTTAAATTGTCACACTTTTTATTCATATACCCATTAATAGTTCAGTATTTATTATCAATACAATAATTTCCATAATCTACATAAAACATACAAAAAGAAGCTATCTCAAATAACTTCCTTTCTTTTCAATTAAACAAACTCCTTCTCAAGGGACAAAATTTGAGGGAAAAAAAAAAATCTCAAGTTTGTGAAAACTAGATTACTTACCAGTAACTTGAGTTATCCTATTGGGTCTTTTCCCTCACAGATCCACCTCTCTTGCCCTTCTGTCCAGCATGAGAATCTTCCTGATGGGCATCCACTGGAACTGAGGGGGCATGCAGTACAGACGTATATGTAAGAAAGTTTGGGGGAGGGTATTTGGGAGATGCTAGAGACATGCTTCAGTGCACTTGCTTACCTTCCTGAAATTGGAAATTTCAACGGTTCCTTGGTCCTCGAGGCACTCACAATAACTTCAAACAATGTGGATCTGTGGAGATTACCCAATAGGAGAACTCCAGTTACTGGTAAGTGATCCAGCTTTTTCTTCTCTATCAGAATAAGAAGATTATTTAATTTTATTTGAGATTATTATTACACGTAAGAACTATGGGGGAAAGCATCAATTCTCTAGATAACTATAGATGCACACACCAAAGTAAATTTGTAAACAATTTGCTAAATATAATGTCAACAGAAACTTCTGCATTGTCAGAAACATAAGGAAAAGAAAATCATTAGAATGGTTTCATTGTAAAATGTCTATTATAATGGATAATATATTTTAATATACAAAATTATCAGTTACCAGGCTATTTCATTTTGCTGAAACAATATCATTATGTTTTACATTGGCACAAGAATAATTAGTCAATCAAAATCCATCATTTCTTAACTAGCCATTGTCATTAACATTCACTAGATTTTAGTATAAAAGCCACTGTGGTGGACTAAAATATGTTAGAATTCAGACAAAATGCATTAATACAATTCCCATTTTATCACTGTCTTTAACCAGGCTGGGCATGGTGGTTCATGCCTGTCATCCCAGCACTCTGGGAGGCCTAGGCAGGCAGATCACCTGAGATCAGGAGTTCGAGACCAACCGGGCCAATACGGTGAACCTCGTCTCTACTGAAAATACAAAAATTAGACGGGCATGGTCTAATTTTTTTGCATGCCTTTAATACTAGCTACTTGGGTGGCTGAGGCACAAGAACTGCTTGAACCCAGGAGGCAGAGGTGCAGTGAGCAGAGATCAAGCCACTACACTCCAGCCTGGATGACAGAGTTAGACTCTGCCTCAAAAAAAAAAAAGTCAGCTGGGTGCAGGGACTCATGCCTGTGGTCCCAGCACTTTGGGAAGCCAAGGCAGGTGGATCACCTGAGGTCAGGAGTTTGAGACCAGCCTAACATGGTGAAATCCCATCTCTACTAAAAATACAAAAATTAGCTGGGCATAGTGGCGGACGCCTGTTATCTCAGCTATTCAGGAGGCTGAGACAGGAGAATTGCCTCAGTGTACTCAGTATAATCAGTATACAGATGTGTTTTAATACCCCTTTACTATCATGCTTCTAAATAATCACCTCCTTCCTTCAAGTAATTTATGATTTCATGATTCTTCATTCTATGGAAACAAAGTGTATAGCTTTTCCTTTAAGAATACCTAGTAACTAACTGACCACTGAATAAATGAAAGAAAACAAAACACACAAAAAAGAATAAATAGGATAAAATGGCCTGTAAAATCATTATTCTACAAAATCAAATTCAACATGTAATTCTAATGAAAATCCTGTATATCAATCATGTTATAAGGTCTTATTTGTATTTAGTTAAAGTTGACAACACATCTGTCAAAATCTTTGCCAGACTCTTACTTATATATAAGATACAAATTTCCTTGGATAAATAACATGCATTTTTCTATAAATTTGAGTTAAGTGTAACAGTAATAAATTCATTAACTTTTAAATGACCCATTCAAACAGGGTTACTACACAGATCTCCATTTCCAACTGGAATAAATAACAGAAAAGGGTCATCTAGTTAACTATTCTAGTTTACTAGGCTCCTAGTCACTGAAGAATAAGTACATAGCACAAAGGTCTTTTATGTTTGTAGTCATAAAACAGATCAACAAGCAATAATGCAAATATTTTACCCTAATTGTGTAAGCGAGTATAACAGATGTCATTAAGAGGCTGGGCACGGTGGCTCATGCCTGTAATCCCAGCACTCTGCGAGCCCGAGGTGGGCCTTTCTCTCACTGTTCAGATTATTTTGCTTTGGGGCAAACAAGCTGCCATGTTTTTTTGAGCCTATAGACAAGAAAAGCCCACATAGCAATAAACTGGTGTCTCTGGCCAACAGCCAGAGTTCTTAGGCCTGTCAACAGACATGTGAGTTAACTTGGATGCAGGTGTTCTAAGATCAGCTGACAACTACATGAGTGAGCCTGCAAATGAATCCTTCCCCAGTTGACCCCTAAGATGACTGCAGGCTCATGAGAGAAAGGTAGGAAAAAGAAATTATATTATTTAAATTAATCTGACCAGGTTTTGCAACCTTATATTACTTTTCAAGTCAATTCTTAATAGCCATCTCTAAAGCAAATGTATTCTGTGTAAAACTGATTTTATAAAACAATGACAAATTTTTCTAATATCACAAATTTCAATTGTCTCAAGCCAATTTTAATGTCTCATTTTCCTTCCTTAGCGAAAGTCATCTTTTTCTTTCCAATGAATAAAAAACTTTTTAAAATAGAAATTCCGGGCCGGGCGCGGTGGCTCAAGCCTGTAATCCCAGCACTTTGGGAGGCCGAGGCGTGTGGATCACGAGGTCAAGAGATCGAGACCATCCTGGTCAACATGGTGAAACCCCGTCTCTACTAAAAATACAAAAAACATTAGCTGGGCATGGTGGCGCGTGCCTGTAATCCCAGCTACTCAGGAGGTTGAGGCAGGAT